CTGCCTGTCCCACCGCCCCAGCGCCGGGTGCAGCGTCAGGCCCCGCTGCCCGGTGCCCTTCAGGAACAGTCCCCGCAGTGTCAGGTACGGTCCCGGGGCTGGGGCAGGCTGGAAAAGACCTGTGGGACAATGAGGCTGAGCCCATGGGGGCTGCAAAGGTCTCGCCTGGGAGGAGGGTACCCACTGGGTTCGGGCTGGGACAGGGTAGCCCTGCTCACCCTTAAAGGTTGGTGGCAGCTCCATTGTCTGTCCCGTCTCTGTGTCCTCACAAATGACTTTCTGCAGTGCCACGGCCATGACTTTCAGCAGGTCACCCGTCGACAAGCAGCATTCGTTGCCTGAGATCTCGTACACAGACCCTGCAGGGTGAGGAGGGAGATTTCCTCAAAGAAAATGCCTCTACCAGCATTTCGTAGAATCACAGAAAGGTTTGGGTTGGAAAAGACCTTCACAGATCACCTGGTCCAAACCCCCTGCCATGGACACGTCCCCTGCAGGGACATCTTTCACTAGATCAGGTTGCTCAAAGCCCCATCAAACCTGACCTTGAACACTTCCAATGATGGGGCATCCACAACTTCTCTGGGCAACCTGTTCCAGTGTCTCACCACCCTCTGTACGCTGTCCTTTACTGCTTCCTCAGAATACCTGCAGGTGGTTGGTGCTCCTGTCCAACACTTGGGAGTTCCTGACTGAGCTCAAACATACGAAGGAAGGGCACGCGCAGTGGCAGCAGGGGCAGGTGGCCCAGGAGGAGCACAGAGACATGGTCTAGCATGCAGGGATGGGGTTAGGAAAGCCAAAACCTGCCCAGAGCTGAACCTGTCAAGGGATGTGAAGGGCAACAAGAAAGGCTTCTACAAGTACATCAACAGCAAAAGGAAGACTGGGGAAAATGCGGGCCTGCTGCTGAATGGGACAGGGGACCTGGTGACAAAGGACACCGTGAAGGCCGATGTGCTCAATGCCTTCTTGGCCTCAGTCTTTACAGGTATGACCAGCCTTCAGGAATGGCCCTGGGACCAGGGGGAAAGTCTGGAGCAAGGAAGACCTACTCTTGGTGGAGGAGGACCAGGTAAGGGAGCACTAAACAAACACAGTGGACATACGTAAGTCCGTGGGGCCTGTTGGGATGCACCCGTGAGTGCTGACTTTGCGAGGCCACTCTCTATTATCTTTGAGAGGTCACGGGCAATCGAGAGAGGTTCCTGAAGACTGGGAAAAAAAGCAAATGTCACTCCTATCTTCAAGACAGGCAAGAAGGGACCTACAGGCCAGTCATGCTCCCCTCAAACCCTGGGAAGGTGATGGAGCAGATAATTCTGGAAACTGTTACCAGATACATGAAGGATGAAAAGGTGATCAGGATTAGTCAGTATGGGGAAATCATGCTTATCCAACCTGATCACCTTCTACAATGAGGTGACTGGCTTGGTGGACGAGGGGAGAGTAGTGGGTATTATTTACCTTGACTTCAGTAAGGCTTTTGGCACTATCTCCCATCACGTCCTCATAGAAAAGCTGATGAAGAATGGGCTGGATGAGCAGACACTGAGGTGGACTGAAACCTGGCTGAAAGGCTGGGCCGAGAGGGTGGTGATCAGTGGCACCAAGTCTAGTTGGAGGCCAGTCAGTAGCGGTGTGCCCCAGGGATTAATACTGGGTCCAATCCTGTTTAACTTCTTTGTTAATAACCTGGATGATGGGGCAGAGTGCACCCTCAGCAAGTTTGCAGATGACACAAAACTGGGAAGGGTTGCTGATAGGCCAGGGGGACCTCGACAGGCTGGAGAAATGGGCTGACAGGAACCTCACGCGGTTCAACAAGGAGAAGTGCAAAGTCCTGCCCCTGGGAAGAAACAATCCCCGGCACCGGCACATGCTGGGGGCCACCCGGCTGGAAAGCAGCTTGGTAGAAAAGGACCTGGGGGTCCTGGTGGACACCAGTTGAACACGACCAGCAACGTGCCCTTCCTGCAAAGGTGGCGAATGGTGTCCTGGGCTGCATTAGGCAAAGTACGGCCAGCAGGTCGAGGGAGGTGATCCTTCCCCTCTGCTCAGCACTGGTGAGGCCACACCTGGAGTGCTGTGTGCGGTGCTGGGCTCCCCAGTACGAGAGACATGGACATACCGTAGACAGTCCAACAAAGGGTCACAAGGATGATGAAGGGACTGGAGCATCTCTCCTGTGAGGAAAGGCTGAGAGAGCTGGGAATGTTCAGCCTGGAGAAAACAAGGCTCAGGGGGTAATCTCATCAACATATATAAATACCTGAAGGGAGGATGCAAAGCCAGGCTTTTCTCAGTGGTGCCCAGTGCCAGGACCAGAGGCCACGGGCACAAACTGGAACACATGAAACTTCCTTCGAACGTAAGAAAACATTTTTTTACTGTGATGGTGGTCAAGCACCGGGACCGGTTGCACAGAGGGGTTGTGGAGTCTCCATCATTGGAGATATTCAAAACCCAGCTGGACAAAGTCCTGAGCAACCAGCTCCTGCTGACCCTGCTTGAGCTGGGGGTTGGCCTGGATGATCTCTGGAGGTCCCTGCCAACCTCAGCGATTTAGTGATTCCCATCACAGGTAGTCATGCTATGTGCCATTAAGAAATACCAGTTACATAGTGGGGGCCCCTCTGCTTGGCCAGCTGTGATGAGGTCCCCGGGGCAATGGGGAGGGGGCTGACCCATGGCCTGGCCCTGGCCGCAGGCTTTGTCCTTTCTGGGACATGAGCCAAGCCCGGGTGTCCCGGCAGACATGGGTGCACGCAGGTCCCTGAGGGATCCCCAGTGCCTGTGGCTGTGGTGGGGCCAAGGGGACCCCTGACCCCTGGGACTGCAGAATGGGGCCGTGGGATGGGGGTGGAGGGTGCTGAGGAAGGAGGGCAGCTATTCAGGGAAGGGCAGAGCTAGTCTGCGGGCTCAGCAGTGGGCAGAGATGGGGCTGGCACAGATCGACCCGGTGTGCGGGGTGAGCTGGGGCCTTTGGCCATGGTGGGAACATGTTGATTTAGGGGCCCCGGCACACACAGCCGCCCCAGCAGGTCTGGGCAGGACAGACGGAGCCAAGGCTGGACACACCGCCAGAGATGGGCTGGTGTCCCCACGTTGGGTATCGGCACCCGAGCGTGGGGGGACGGACGCTGCTGCAGGCACTGCCGCACCACTGACCACCGCTTGCCTGTGGAGTGCGGGTGGGAGCAGCGGGGTGGGACTGGCTGGGAGACTGCCTGCCCCCCGGGAGTGGGGGGAAATTCGAAGTGGAAATAAATGTGAAAAAATAAGCCACAGGAAGAGGTGGTTGAAAGCTAGGACGTTTCAGAAAGTGCTGCGTGTTGCGTAAGCCCCAGTCCCCCTCCTCCAGCCCTCCTGTGCCCTGTCACGCTGTGACAGCATCGAGGGCATGGTCTGAAAAGGGAGGAAACCCACAGCCGGGCTGCACTGCCCAGAGCACAGAGATGCCTCACACCCTGGGTGCAGAGACCTGGTTAACTCCACACACACCTGGCATGGCTGGCCCCCTTGGCTGGCAGCAAGACGCACAGACACACGTGGCTGTGGATGCCCTGTGCAGGACCCCAAAGTGCTCTTCAGCTCCCCCACAGCACCCAGCCAGAGTGGTTTTGCAACATAAAGCAGGATCAAGAATGCAGAGGAGGCGAGGACTGCATGGCTGGGAGAGGAGCCTGAGAAGGGGCCGAGACCAGCAGTGGTCTCCATCTTGGGGACCCACCCAAATGTTTGCTAACAAAAAGCCAGAAGTAGTAAGATCTTCAGTAATGGCAGGAAATCCAGAAATGTTCAAGAAATATCATGAGTGCAGGACAGCACATCTGCAGGGTGCAACGCTGGTTGATCCCCAGTGCACTCCGATCTGTCTGTGAGGTTCAGCACCGTTCACCATCAGCCAAGGGAACACGCAACCAGGAGATTGGCTGAGGGGTCTTTGTTGGGGTGATATTTATTTCTAATCAGGAATCAGGAATATTTCTAATCAGGAATCAGGAATACCTGGAAGCTTGTACAGCCCATGTCCTGGAAAGCTTCCAGTGGTGGTAACTGTGCAGGGGTCATAACAGGGGAGAAAAGCAGTGCAGAAAAGCACAACGAGAACAGCTGGAGGCTGAACCGATGTAACTCAGACGAGAAATGCAGCAGGAAAGATTCAGTGCTTGATCGCGCTGCAAAGGGATGGGGGTAGATGTGCCCTTCCCGGAGCCGGAGCCTTTCCTGGAGCAGGAGCTCCTCAGGCTATGCTACCAGATCATGATACCCTCCAACACAAGCAATGCCCCTTTCTGCCCTTAAATCTTAGGGGCCCCGGCAGCTACCAAATCTTCTGTGCAGCCACGAACTTCTCCCCTCCCTGGGATGAACTCATGACAAATCCCCTGCTATGCGAAGCAGAAAGCACTGGCTACCTCACCACGACTACCAGCAACGACTAAACGAATTGACTGCTGCTGTTGGAACAGAGGCATTTTTACTCATTTAGCAATGTTAAGGTGTTATCAAAGCCACCAGAAGTCTTTGGGAAAGCTAAACATCCACCCCAACCGAGCTACAGAGAAGCAGAATGAGACCACTCCAACCACTTCTCTTGCTCTTTACAAGTCAATGTAAACTAAACAAATGCTACAAATCCTACAAGTCTTGATGGTAATTGCCACAGTGGTGTTGCCAGGATCCTGCTGTGCATTCCCAGCATTTTCGGGAGCCCCAGAAACCCAGCAAAAGCATTTGCTAATTTCAGGTTCCATTTCACCACCAACATTGCCACCAGCTGAGGAAGCCATGTTGGTCAAGGCTTCTCCTCGACCTAAGATGTCTCCAGGGACATAGTCCAGGAGGAAGCAGAGAGCTCAGACCAGGCTGCTCTCTGCGCCCTTGCTGGACTCCTTGCACTGGGGCCAGGGGCAATGCCATCCCACCTTCCTCCAGCCACTGAGCATGTGGCTCCATCCCTGCCAGATCCACCAGCAGCAGGTGATTCACCGCCTGGGACAAGAGCTGTGCATGAAGTGGAGGACCAGCTTGGATGGTTTTTGGTGCCCCACCGCTCTCCTAGCAGAATGACTGAATGCACCGGGGCACCCAGCTGGGTGGGCACTGGGTGTAGAAGAGAAAGATTTTTGCAAGAGGCTGTGCCTTAGGCACCAGTGTCTGGTGGTGGTACGAGGACCTGTGCCTCTCCCTGGGCGTGGGCACCCCTGTGGCAGGGGACCAGCCATCTTCAGGGCGGGAGGGGGGAGCCCAGGCTGCAGTGGCATGGCCGGGAGAGGTGGCACAGCCTTGGGATACCCTTTGGAGACAGCGGGCAGCCAGCACTCACCTTGGAAGTAGACACCGGAGCAAATCCTGAGGATGCGGGGCAGGGTGGCGGGGTCCAGGGAGCAGATATATTCCTGCAAGGAGAGGGGCTCCATGGCCATGCTGCCGGATGCTCTGAAGCACTCTGCAGAGAGGGGAACCGTGTGGGAAGCAGCTCCAGGCTCTGCTTTCACTTCTGCCTGCCTTTCACTTCTGATTCTAGCAGTGGTAAGTTCCCTCTCTGGCCCTAGACCCACGCTGCTGGCAGCTCTCCAGCCTGCACAGACTGAGCGATGTGCTGCTGGGACAATCCTCTTTCCTGGACCGCATCACCCGTCATGGCTTGGTGTCCCCCAGTCCTGATCCTGGCGGTGCTGCCGGTGCTGTGGGCGGGTGAAGGCATGGACCCCCCCCAGCTCTGCCATGGAGCTGTCCTGGCTGGACCAATGCTCCAGCCTGTCCTACCCAGGCTGTCCCCATCGCACATCTCCTGTGTACCAGCTGGGACAATCCTCTTTCCTGGACCGCATCACCCGTCATGGCTTGGTGTCCCCCAGTCCTGATCCTGGCGGTGCTGCCGGTGCTGTGGGCGGGTGAAGGCATGGACCCCCCCCAGCTCTGCCATGGAGCTGTCCTGGCTGGACCAATGCTCCAGCCTGTCCTACCCAGGCTGTCCCCATCGCACATCTCCTGTGTACCAGCCTGCCCTGCCTCTCGGCAGCTGGGGCCAGACAGAGCGATGGTGCTGTGGAGCAGAGGGCAGGTCTGGGTGTAACACGCCAGAGAAAGCGAAGGGCTGCGTCCAGACAGCCCTCACCCCTTACACACACACAGGCACCTCCGTCCTGCTCACCTCTGGGCTTTCAGACCACGCTTGCTCCCGGCACAAACATCCCGTGCATCATGCCCTAGCTTGTGTTCAGTGTGCGGAGAAGAGGGAAGTCAGTGGGTCTGGACTGTGTGTCACTGCAGCAGCATCAGCCCTGGGAAAGGCAGAGCCAAATTCCCGCACTTCCAGGACAGGCAGCAGCACCCGTCTCACTCCCCTGCAGAGATGGGCCCCGTCCTTCACCAAAGCAGCCGAGCACAGTCCCCACGGCTGCCAGCCCCACAGGCTGCCAAGGTGGAAACAGCAGTTCTGAGAGCTGCTGCTCCTGATGAGCTTCGTCTTTGTAAGGATTTTACTTCAACTTGCCCTATGAATCAAACCGAAGCTGCAGGCTAGGAACAGGATGGGACTTAATGTAGAAATGAAACTTGGAGAAAGGTGATGCAGAAGAAGAGGTCTCTGCTTTGACTCCAGTTGCGGAAAGCAGCTGCATTTAATGATAATTCGTGTTTCCTGTAATTAGTACAAGACGAAGCAATCTGAGGGACAGAGAGTGCTGGAGTATCGAGATCCCCCCTGCACGAGGCAATTTCAGCATGCCACGCAGGGTGTCATAGCAGCAGGGACGTCTAGAGGACTTCAGGCCAAACTGACACTTGGAGCTGGACTATCCTTGACACCAGAGCAAGTCAGATGACAACCTACAAGGATGGAGACCTTCCACCCCTCTGGTGGTCTGTCAAAGGGCTGCACCACCCTCCCAGAGAAGGTGCTTTCCTAACGCCCAGCCTGCATCTCTGAAGCTGTATATGCGGCCATTGGCCCTCACTATCTCGTCTGCCATTGCTGGGAAGAATTTGGCTCCACCGGCAGCAAAACTGTCCTTCAAGTAGTTGCGGGCTGCTATTAGATTGGCCTTCTCCTCCTCTTCACCAGACAAAACCAGCCCAGCTCCCATAAACACTCCTCATAGGTTGTGTGGCCAGCACCACAACCATCTTGGTCACCCTTTGGTGGTCCCTCTCCGACATCCCTCTTCTTGAACTCGGGGTTCAACACTGCGTCCACTATTCCCAGTGCAGGCAGCAGCAGGGATAGCTTCCCCTGATCCGTGAGCCATGATCTGGTCTTAGTCCAGCACATGGTTTGCCCTGTTCACAGCAAGAGCACAGGTGGGGTGTTGCACATTAAGAGCAAAGAGCATGACTGAGGATATAGGGGAAAAGATATGGGAACCGCCATGTATCAGACCCCTTCGGAGAGCCAGAAAGATGCTGGCTCTGTTCCCCAGCCGGACAGGCTGTCCCAGGCAGGCTCGTCATCGCTGCAGAAGGTGTACAGATGCTGAGCCCATGCTGATGGGACACTGCAAGATTTACAGCTGGGCAGTGGCACACAAGCCCATGTGGAACTAGATGAACAAAGCTGAAGTGGGTGGAAGATCCCAAGCAGCAGAAGTTTAGATGCCATCAGCTTTATCATCATGAAATGGGAATGGGACACACAGCCTGGGAGAAATATCCTTTGTACCAATAGCTGGGAAGAAAGTGTATTTTATTCTATCAAACACTGTCAAGAATCCCTGAAGGGCAGGACCAGACTAACCCTGGGAGGTCAGGAAACTCTCAATATAGTAGAGAGAAGCCCCCAAACCCGCAGAGCTTGTCCCTCTAGGGGTGCTTTGCTGCTCTAAGGCAGAGTCCAGGGAGGAGCTGAACAGATGCTCTGGAAATCACAGGGTAGGTTGAACAGCCAACAGCAAAGGTCTCTCTGCACACCAAGTACCTATTCCTCCATTCCCAAAGAGGCCCTAAAGAACCAGCCCCGTGCCTAGACAGTCTGAAACCCCAGTGGCAAGGCTGACCCCAAGGCGCCTCTGCAGGTAACGGGTGACTGTGGTTGTGGTGGGCATTGCTGGCAAACCAGGGTGTGGATTTTGCTACAACTGAGACCTATGTTTGCCGCTGCAGCAAGATAACGAGGGTTTCCCCAGCTGATGTGCTGGTCTAGTTCAAAACAGAAGAGCCTGGCTGCAGCCACCCCTGCATACCTGTGCTCTGCTACCAGTCTGGGGAAAATGGGAGGGGGACAGGGAACAGAAGGAATTAGTTTGAAAAACAGTCATAGAAAAATATGTCTAAAAATAAAAGGTACAGTACACGTACCTGTGGCCTAAACTGGACAGTCCATGGTTCAGCATGTAACAAGCTGGTTGTGGAGAAGATACCAAAGACTGTCTGCTCTTTGCTCGGGTTTCCTCCCAGGGACAATGGGATAACCTAACACCAAGCAGAGGCAGCACAGAGGAAAGATCCTACCCTAGTGCAGCTCCCCAGAGCTCTGTTCATTGACACGTTTCTGGGACGCTGCTGGGCACTGCCAGACCAGCAACCCCCGATTCCCAGGGCAGGCGAGCGATATAGGGACATATGCTCAAGAGGGATGCCCGTGCTGCAGAGCACGGCTGTGAAAGGGCAGCTGAGGACCCAGTGTGCAAATCTCCATGAGAAGTCTGGAAAAATAAAAGGGGTCATGGAGGTGTCCAAGCCGTGGACACAGATACAATGAGCATGGCCATGGACAGCAATCGTGGTCGGCTCAGAAGCCCACTGGCTCTTGCCTGAAAGGGGCTTCTAGGAGCAGGTCTCCAGGCTGCTGAGCTCTAGCAGCAAAGAGCCAGGGCTTGGCCACGGTGAGTCAGAGCCAAGGAGGAAGCAGCATCTCTTCAGGGATGGGGGAGAGCTGCAAGGAAAGGGGAGTGAGGAGAGTCAGAGACATGTTCAAGACAGCTTACTATGGGCCAAGGGGCTAAGCAGCTCTGCTTTGGGGCCAATGATGCCTGCTATCCTCTCCTGGTAGCTTAGCCTTGAGCCTGATTTCATCAGAGGATGGGTGAAGGAGGTTGTTGCTTTGCAGCTACCCAGAAGTGTGTGTAGCAGACCCGTGAGGTTTGGGATGCCTCTGGGAACCACAGAGCAGCTGTTGGAGGAAAAGGCAGCAAACCTGTCAGGGCTCTGCCATCCCAAACACAGCCAAAGCACCGAGCTGAATAAATGAGTGGAACATTTTCACTCCCTCCTGCTCGCCACCAGGCCGGTGCCCGCCTGCCCGCTCTGCCTGCGAGGTGAGGGACAGGCCAGCCACCACGGCGTCCTGAGAACCGCTGCTTTATTTCACACGCTAACCAAAACCAGCCCATCCCCTTCCACGAACAGCCCTCACTTCCCCACAGCAAGCAGGCACTCCGCAGCGGCTGAGGAAAGACCATTCTTTTCCCGTAGCAGACATTTCCACATCAGCCACCCAGTGCCTGACGTCAGGATGGCTTAGGCTTGACACATGGTCCCTGGACTGAGGGTCGTCTTTGTGAGCACCGTCTCCACCTCTCCGAGTCCAAATTCAGAGGTGATCCTGCCCAGCAGGTGCCCCCTCCAGAGGGGTCCCCTGTGACAGCAGGGCAGCATGTAGAGATGCTCCAACTCAGCAGCACGCGCAGCAGAAGAAATCGTTGCACCAAGCGATAAAACTGCTCACCCCAGGAAGCAGGGCCCAGCTCATTGCCAAGGCCAGAGGAGCTGAGCAGCAGAAAGGCCAAGAAAGAGGGAGCATCAATAGCAGAGGGCCCTGATGGCACTGCAGGGTCACGTACAGCGCCTTGATGATACTCTCCATGCTTGCCTGTCAAAGCTCACAGGCACTTCCCTGCCATTCGCTACCCGGCCCTGTGCTAAGGCTAACCCGGCATCCTGTCTCGCTACACAAGACATGTCCTTATGCTCTCCAAGGTCAGTGTCTGATACAGGACACAACTGAGACGGTATCTCCCTGCAAAGGGATCCTCTCCTCCTACTTCAAGCAATCACGTACCACCATGGAGCACAGCACAGCGTGGTGGGCGAGCCAGGACCCACGAGCGGTTTTGTTTCTTACCCTGGTGAGGCTCTAACAAGGGTGATGAGGATGGACAGGGAGGAGGGGGAGGCGCAGGGGACTTGCATCAGAGGAAGTTGCCACTTTCTGCTTCGTGCAGTGAGACAGGAAACCATGCAATTGCTTTTTTCCCCTCCAGTTGTGCATTTGCCCTAGCAGAGCAGAACACACCCACTGTTAATATCATGGACAAATATAGGTGAAAAATCTGTTGGAAATTGTTCAGCAGCAAGCAACTGTAAAGCCTACATCTTAGTACAACTAGTTGTGTTCTGCATACTGAGTAACTGAGATAAAGTTGTTAAGAGATAACAAGAACATCATAAAACCTCTTTAACAGATGGGCCCAGTGATATC